TTCCCCGGGAGCAGAATGCCCCCCCCCACACACAGGGTGACCGTTTATTTATTTATTTATGAGACTTATATACCGCTTTAAGTGCGAGCACTCTCTAAGCGGTGTACACCAGTAAGCAATGTGTGTGTGTGTGTGTGTGTGTGTGTATATATATATATATATATATATATATATATATATATATATATATTATGTATGTTTTCTGAGGTTTTCGCGGGTATTTGTATGTAGGTCTTTGGTTGTTCGGGTTTTCTCCCACGTAAAATTGGAAGTGTCTTGGCGACGTTTCGACGAACGTCGCCAAGACACTTCCAATTTTACGTGGGAGAAAACCCGAACAACCAAAGACCTACACATATATATATATATATATATATATATATATTATATATATATATATATATAATATATATATATATATATATGTTTTCTGAGGTTTTCGCGGGTATTTTAGTCAGGCTGGTTTCAACTCCACATATAATGGTTTTCAGTGGGGATGTGTTTGGGCGACTGCAAAGAATCCTTTCCAAAGGATTCAACTTTGCAGTCGCTCCCAAACACATCCCCACTGAAACCATTATATGTGGAGTTGAAACCAGCCTGACTAAAATCAACCCCGACGACGCCAACAGAATCAGACTCGAAATCACCAACATCCTCTGCACCAGCAAGCCACCCAAAAGCAACTTACCCAAAGAGGAACAGACAGCACTACGTAACCTTAAAGAAGACACCAGCATAATAATCCTACCAGCAGACAAGGGCAACGCCACGGTGGTTATGAACACATCTGACTACCAAACCAAATTAACCAACCTACTCCAAGACTCCACATACAAACCCCTAAATACAGATCCCACCACCTACCTGGAAAAAACCACCAGATCCAAAATAAAAGCCTCCCCCATTAGCGAAGAGATCCAGCAAAGAATCATTCCCAGAGAGAAATCATCCAGATGCCCCAAACTCTATGGTCTCCCCAAGATACACAAGGAAGGAACCCCACTCAGACCTATAGTCAGCTCCATAGGCTCACCTCTACAAAACCTAGCCAAATTTCTCGCCAAACAACTACAGCCCTATGCAGAATCCATTACCTCACATGTAAAAAACTCATTCCAGTTTATAGAGATCATAAAGAAACAAAACTTACAGCCCAGCGACCTACTAGTGAGCTTCGATGTCATATCCCTCTTCACACAAGTGCCTATCAAAGAAGCCTTGACAGCTATCCAAAACAAATATAACCCCCCCAAACACATCTTAGATCTGACCAACCACTGCCTATCCAACACATACTTCATCTATAATGGACAAAAATACAAACAAACAGAAGGAGCACCCATGGGATCACCCCTCTCACCTGTCATTGCCAACCTCTACATGGAACACTTTGAAACCCAAGCTCTAGAAAAATCTGATCACAAACCCAAACTCTGGCTCAGATACGTAGACGACACCTTCATAATCTGGCCACATGGGAAAGAAAAACTGGACAACTTCCTCACACACCTCAACAGCCTACACCCCAAAATACAGTTCACCATGGAAACAGAAACTAACAACCAACTTCCCTTCCTGGATGTCTTAGTCTACAAGAAATCCAATGGCTCCCTAGGACACACCATCTACCAGAAGAAAACACACACAAACCGCTATCTGCACGCTCTCTCACACCACCACCCAGCACAGATCAACTCTGTAGCCAAGACACTCATCTCCAGAACAAAACGCTTAGCTGACGAACAACACCTAAAACCCGAACTACACACTCTCACCAATGTACTAACATCCAATGGATTCCATAGAAATAAGATTACAAACCTAATCCAAAAAGAAACCCCCACTAAAATCCAAGACAAAGAACAAGAAAACGGCAAAGCCATCCTCCCATACATAAAAGGCATCACAGACAGAATCAGTAAGATCCTCCATAAACACAACATCAAAACAGCATTCTGCACAAACAGAAAAATATCCACCATCCTTAGAAACCCCAAAGATAAAATTGAATTAGAAAATCAAGGAGTATACGAAATCCCATGCACCACTTGTCCCACCACATACATCGGACAAACCAACAGAAGAATAAGTGCACGCATTGAAGAACATAAGAACTCAGTCAAAAAAGAGGAACCAACATCTTCCCTGGTCCAACACCTTAAAGCTACAGGACATGAAATTGACTTTAAAAATACCAGAACCATTGCCAAAAGTGAACATTTTAATAACAGAATAATCAGAGAAGCCATCGAGATAGAAAAACGCCCACACAGCATGAACAAGCGAGATGATACCTCCCGCCTACCAGCCATTTGGAAACCCGCCCTCATTGACAAACGACTCCCTAACACAAAAAATGATACCAGACCCACACTCACAAAAACCACACAGGAGGTCACCACCAAACATCCACGCAAAAAACAAACCCAAAGCCACACTGACTATGAGGCACGACCACAAACCAGAAGCCAGACCACAGCTGCATCATTAGCCACTTTAAACCCCCTCAATCCATACATGAAGCAAACTGACACCCTCCATGAAGAGGAAGCACGACCACGAACGCGAAGCCAAGGAATGGCAGGGCAGCCCAAAATCTTGAATCCCTCTGCAACTCAGACTAACCTGAGCACAACCAAACAGAACACTCCCCCAGCCAATCAGAGCACAGCCAACCCCCCAGCCAATCAGAGCACAGCCAAGCCCCTAACCAATCAGAACACACCTCCACCCAATCAGAACACAGCCAAGCTCCCACCCAATCAGTTCATACCCCCACTGGCAGTTAAAAGGAAGAAACAGCTAAGACCACACATTGCTGCTCGAAGCACGAAGCTGAAAACACCAGCCTGAAGATGACGAATGGGACTTCGTCGAAACGTCGCCAAGACACTTCCAATTTTACGTGGGAGAAAACCCGAACAACCAAAGACCTATATATATATATATATATATATATATATATATATATATATATATATATATATATATATATTTACATTGCCCCCAACAATATGGGTCCTCATTTTACCTACCCCGGAAGGATGGAAGGCTGAGTCAACCTTGAGATTTGAACCGCTGACCTGCTGAACACAGTCAGCTAAAGTGGCCTGCAGTACTGCACTCTAACGGCTGCGCCACCTCGGCTCTTTCCAAAACATCTTTTAAAATGAATTGGACAATAGCAGTCTTCCAGTAGCTCAGGGGCTGCCCCAAAGAAGAGAGAGTCAAGCTATTCTCCAAAGCCCCTGAAGGCAGGACAAGAAGCAACGGATGGAAACTGATCAAGGAGAGAAGCAACCTAGAACTAAGGAGAAATTTCCTGACAGGAAGAACAATTAACCAGTGGAACCACCTACCTCCAGAAGTGGTAAGTGCTCCAACACTGGAAGTTTTTAAGAAGAGACTGGACAGCCAGTTGTCCGAAATGGTATAGGGTTACCTGCCTGAGCAGGGGGTTGAACTAGATGACCTCCAAGGTCCCTTCCCACTTTATTACTATTATTACTATTACTATTATTATTAAGAGACAAACAGTGGGAAGGGACCAAGGCAAGAGAATTAACTGGGCAAAATGGACGCACCATTTTCAGTTCTGGCTTTGCGCTACTGCACTTCCCTTCGCTTCTAGCAAACTAGACCTTTCCGAACAAATGGAGGTAAGGATCGTTTTTACTTACTCAGGGAGGCCTGACAGTTACGTAACCCTTAACTTACAGCCATTTATTTAGTGACCAGGGCACTGGAAAAAGTGGCATGGCCGTTTTTCACACTTTCACTGCTTCCCAGGGTCACACATGATCAAAATGTGGACTTTTGACAACTGCCATGAATCCCAGGGTCACCTGACCACCGTTTTTAAACTTCCCTGCCGGTCTCTGACAAACCAAGTCCCTGGGAAATCAGATTTGCGTAATGTCCGCGTGAATCACTTAATTGGCGAAAAGGCCATAAAATGGGGCAAACTGCCTTGCTTATCCACGTACATGTTGGGCTCAATTGTGGTCGTAAGTCAAGGACTGCCTGTGGCTTTCCGAGTGTATCTTCCTGAACAGCTTTCCTTGCCTAACAAGCACTGGCTGGCAAGTTAAGAAGCCCCGTGATCAGGCTGGGGCATCTGCTGCCTGGGACGGTTGACTCCCCAAAGAAATCAGCACTTGAGTTCTCACTCAGGGCAAAAAAAGACCAGGCTGAAGTTATCCCACTCTGGACAAACGTCATGAAGACCCAGCTCTCCGGAGAAGGCTCTCATGCTGGGAAAGAGGGAAGGGGAGGGGAGGATGGCTAGCAGGAAAAGTGGAGGGACTCAGTCCCAGTGGAAACAGCTGGAAGACCTGAAGGACCAAGCTGGGTATAGAGCAGTGGTTCTCAACCTGTGGGTCGGGACCCCCTTTGGGGTCGAACGACCATTTCACGGGGGTCGCCAAACAACGCAGTCCGCCATTTTTTCCCCCGTTTTCCTTAGCTGTGCTACTCCCTTTTATTCTATTGGCTTTTGAAAGCCAATAGAATAGACTCTTGAATAGAGTCTAATTCTATTGGCTTTCAAAAGCCAATAGGAATTGTCCAGGCTGTCTCTGCCCTGCTGAGCCCGCCAAAAGTCCCATTCTGCAAACGGTGCTGCACCAGTTGAGTAGTCCTCGACTTACGACCGGTTGGGGGTTGCGGCATTAAAAAGGTTGAGAACCACTGGTACAGATCATCACGGGGAAGATCCATTTATCCACTCTGTTCAGAGTTGACAACTTGATGGTGCATAATCAATCAATCAATCAATCAATTTCTATCTAGACAGACACCTTTTCTAAGGCCTGCTCTGCCGTGCACTAGTCTGAGGTGTCTTTCTTAACTGCTTATTCCTTTAGTCTGGAGAAAATCTATGTGGTGGCTGAGAGGTGAGAAGAACGGGATGGCACCCCACCAACCCTTCACTCAGGATCCTCCTTGGCCTGCCCCGGGGCCCAAAGGAGAAGGCAGCTGGAGGGGAGTAGCCCTACCTCAGGAGTGATGGCGTACTTCTTGGTCATACCCCAGAGCAGGCAGGTCAGGAACATGTGTCCGAGGGCCGAGAAGATGAAGAGTACGAAGGCTAAATGGTGGAAGGCTGCAGGGGAGACCAGGAGGAAAGAGGTGACAGCGTGGGAGAGACAGGGGAGACGGGGGGGGGGCAGAGAAGGAGGGGAGTAGGGAGAGAGAATGAGGGAGTGACAGGGAGGAAGACAAGGGGAAGGGAGGGGGTATGACAGGGAGGAGTGACATTTACGAGGGAAGACGATGGTGAGGAAGGATGCAGAGCGTGATGCCCCCCCCCCCAGATGCTTCCCGAAGTGTCGGCTCAAAGGAAGATGAACCGGTCCCAGGCATGTCTGAGGGGGGGGGGAGTTTATTTATTTATTTATTTATTTATTTTTATTTATGAGACTTATATACCGCTTTAAGTGCAAGCACTCTCTAAGCGGTGTACACCAGTAAGCAATATATGTATATATTTACATTGCCCCCAACAATCTGGGTCCTCATTTTACCTACCCCGGAAGGATGGAAGGCTGAGTCAACCTTGAGCCGGTGAGATTTGAACCGCTGACCTGCTGAACACAGTCAGCTAAAGTGGCCTGCAGTACTGCACTCTCACTGCTGCGCAATGGCTCCAGCTGAAGCGCAGGTGCAGCAGGCCAGCCCTGAGGCTTCGGGTGGGGAAAGCAGCCGGCTGAAGTAGGTCAGAGATGAGGAAGAGGAACTGCCTGCTGCACCAGACCCGAGAACAGGCAGGGCAGAGAAAAGGCAGGAGCAGAGAAGGCCAGCCAGATCACTCGCGAGAAGAAAGCCTCGCCCTTCCAGAAGCTGCGACTGAGCACGGCAGACTTGAACTTCCGACGGGCTCTCTTCTGCGGTTGCCTTGGCCTGTGGCCTGGACTCACCTTTGCCTGGAGGAAGAAGGGTGCCTCCCTTCCAGCGCCGCCTACGTGGAAATCATTGGGGTGGAGCTGGGACAAAGGCCCCCTCCGCCCCTGGGGTGAGTGTGTGTGGGTGTGAGAGGGATAACATGAGGGGGGACAGGGAGAGGAATCGAGGGGGTAGGGGGAGAGACAGGGAAAAGAGGAGGGGGGAGACAGGGAGAAGAGGGGGGAGAGCGGGGGGGGGAGGAGGGGAACGTACCGTGACTCTCGGCGGAGGAGACGTAGGTGAGCAGCAGCAGCCCCAGGTTCTCCCCCAGGGCGAGGCCCAGGACGGCGCGGCAGAGGCGCGGGTAGAGCCGGTGCGGGCTGGGGAAGGCCCGGTAGTAGCGCCAGTAGGCGGCGGCCACCAGCAGCCGCGGCGCCGACTGGAGGGCGATGCAGAGGCGCCACACGTAGCGCTCCGGCGTGGCGGCCCCGATGGCGGCGCTCAGCGACGGCAGGTAGTTGGGCACCTGGCGGGGAGGGGGGGAGGGAGGAGGATCAGCGCGGAGGGTCCCCTCCCCCTCCAGGCCCCCCTCCCTCCCTCCCTCCCCCGGGACTCACGCGGCAGTGCGTGGCCGTGGCCTCGGCGAAGTGGAAGAGCAGCGCCCAGGCCACGCAGAAGAGGAAGCCGACCAGCGGGCAGCCCACCGTCCAGGCCGCCAGCGTGGTGAAGCGCACCCGCAGCAGCGCCCAGTCCCGCTCGCGTTCCAACGGCAGCGCCACCGGCAACATCCCGCTCGCCTCGCCGCCGCTCCCGGCCGCCTGGCCCTGCCCGCGCCCGCCGGGAGCTGTAGTCCGCCGGCTCCTCCTCCTTCGGGCGCGGCGTCGCCGCTGCTATGGAAACCAAGCCCACAACACCCGCGCCCGCCGGACGCTCAGGCTCCACCCACTTCCGGGGACACGGGAACCTCCGCGGCGTCGCCCTCGCGCCTCCGCCTCCCAGCCCCCCCCCAGCAACAGGGCCGTCGGTTGCCCCAACCAATCGCCGCGCCCCGGGGTCCTCTGCCGCGACGGACGTCAGGAGGGAGGACGCAGCCGATTGGACAGGGCGACTTTGGGGGGGGGAGAGCTACGACTCAGCCAATCGAAAACCAGCGCGAGGCGCTGAGGTCGGGGGACGGAGCGCCAATGGGAATCTTCCGAGGAAAGGGAGCGCGGGGCAGCCAATCAGGAGCCTCGGCGCCCCTACGTTCCGCGCGGGCGAGCGTCGAGCGTGCGTGTATGACGCAGTTTCGCCGCTGCCGGCCCCCCCAATCGCGACCCCTCGAGCGGCTGAGGCGGGTTTCGAGGAGGTGTCGCCGCCGCCGCCGTCCGGCTCTCGGTGACAGAGACGCGCCTCGCAGCGAGCGCTAGGCCGGGCCGCGGGCCCTGAGCCCAACGCCGCGCTTCTCCCCCGTCGGGAGGCCCAGCCTGGAGAAGCGGTGAGGGAGGGGCCCGGGGGCTTCTGGGAGGGGAAGGTGGGGCCGCGCGGGGTCTCCTGCGGGGGGGCAGTGGGCGGGGCCTGCCCGTCACGTGGCGCCGGCCGGCCGAGGGGAGCGCACGTGCGGGGGGGCCGAGGGAGGGCCGGGTCGTGGGAACGCGGCCCGCCCTGGCTCGTTCACGTGAGCGGGAAGGGGCCCTTCGAGCCGAAGTGAAGCCGGGGGGGGGGCTGCCGCGCGTGCATTAACGGGCCTTGGAGGCGGCCGGGGGCCCGGACCCTCCCCGCGTCTCCCGGGCCTGGGAGTGGAGCTGGGCGGGGGATTCCCCAGGAAGCGAGCCCGGCGCCGAGCAGACCTGCCGTTGCCCTGGTCTTCGGGCAGCTCCCGGGCCGGGCAGGCCGAGGACCCGAGAGCGGAATCCCCGCCGCCGCCGAGAGGCAGCAGCCGCAGCGCCTGCAGGGGTCTCCGGAGCTTCTCGGCCACCGGGTCACCGTTGTCCCAAAGGCAGCTGGGCTCCCTCGGTTTGTTTTCCCTTCGAAGACGTTTCGCTTCTCCTCCAGGAAGCCCCTTCAACTCTGGCTGGATGGAAGGGCATAATGCAGTGTTTCCCAAACTTGACAATTTTAAGGCATGTGGACTTCAACTCCCAGAATTCCACAGCCAGCGTTGCTGGCTGTGGAATTCTGGGAGTTGAAGTCCACATGCCTTAAAATTGTCAAGTTTGGGAAACACTGCCATAATGGATGGGGTTATATTCTTGGGGGGCAGCCTCCCTCTGGGGTCACGGAGGCCACTTGGATCAGAGTGCAGATGGGTGCGGAGCCTTCTTGGAGCTGCTGGAAGGGCGGTGTTGCGAACAGGATGTGGGTGGGTCCTATCCTTCCAGCACTGCTCAACCTTAACTTAGACAGCCTCTTTGAATCCCTGAAAAGGTGACCCTGAGCAGGGGTTAAACCTCCAAGAAACAATTCTCAGAGAGAGCGCTAACAACCAGATGACTGCAAGGGATAGAAATCCTTCCTCCACCATTCAGTTAGAACCAACTGAAGCTTCTTGGTTGAGAAGCAAAACGTCTTCAAGGAAAAACGTCTCGTTGCCTTTTGGAACAAGCCCCTTTCAGACTGGCATCTGCTTTCGTAAGAACTGGTTGGTCAAACTCGGGGTATGGCTGGAGATCTTGAGGTGGTGCGTGTGGACGCCAGTTGGTTCGTGTGTCACACTGGCAGATGAAGACAAGGATTGTTTTAACCAAACTAGGAGTTTGTTTATTAAATTGTAAGCCACGATTGGGCAGCTTACAAGGTCAAAAGCAATACAACTATAGAAACATACACACATACATATATTTACATATATACAATATATGTATTAAATATATATACACATATTTACTATGTAGGTCTTTGGTTGTTTGGGTTTTCTCCCGCGTAAAATTGGAAGTGTCTTGGCGACGTTTCGACGAATTTCCATTCGTCATCTTCAGGCTGGTGTTTTCAGCTTCGTGCTTCGAGCAGCAATGTGTGGTCTTAGCTGTTTCTTCCTTTTAACTGCCAGTGGGGGTATGAACTGGTTGGGTGGGAGCTTGGCTGTGTTCTGATTGGGTGGAGGTGTGTTCTGATTGGTTTGTGTGCTGCCTGTATCCCATGGATGGGCCTTTGTTTGTGCGGACCGGTTTCTGGCATGCCGTGGACCAGTGCCATTCCACAGACTGGGGGTTGGGGACCCCTGTTCTAAAGGACAGGGTTGATGTGAATGCAGCAAAGATTATGACTTGTATAAGTTTTTCATTAGTTTTATTGTGGTTTCCTTCCGGTGTAATTAAAGAAACTGGAATTGATAGAAGAGAGTATTTGTAGGTCAGGGTCAAACTGTGAGGTCCTTGGTGTTCTTTGAGCTTGGCTGTTTTCTTGCAGACGTTTCATGACCCAAATAGGGAACATCATCAGTGCCAAGGTCAGTGAGCTGCTTACGTTACCTAGTTGGGCAATGAAACCCTTGCAAGGAAACACCCAAGCTCAGAGAGCACCGAGGACCTCACAAACTCTGGAATCGAAAGCGCAAAACGTTGACTGTCTATTAGAGAATATCAGTAACAACTTTCTTTGCTTGGAAATAAACATTCTTATCAGGCAATGCTAAGGAAACAGAGAGGTGATTTTGCACCCTTGAATCATTTAAAAGTTGAGCCAGGTGGCTAAGCATAATCAAACTGAGCTTTTCTTGCAGTGATAGTGAAGGACAGACATATAAAAGGCAAAGGGTTTTATCAGCAAGCTTTGGATTTCGCGGTAAAGAGTTTTGTTACATTTTATAGACTTGCAAATCATGATTTCATTAACCAATTAACTCCTGAAGGTATATACTTTAATCCTCTTGGGAACATGAGCAATTTGAGAAAACGGGTCACTTCAGTTTTGAAAAATATCTCATAGTGGTAGAGCTTGAATTTATAAGTATTGATAAGCTCTATGAATTAGTTTTTCACCTGCTTTTCTGACAGAAGTTCAAAAGTTTATGGATTGCCAATAATATTATAATCTCTAACTTGTAATAAAACATTTAAAAATTAACTTACGTTCCCTTAGCTCAGCGGTAGGCAACCTTGGCTCTTTTATGACTCATGGACTTCAACTCCCAGCACAGCTGGCTCAGGAATTCTGGGAGTTGAAGTCCATGAGTCATAAAAGAGCCAGGGTTGCCTACCCCGCCTTAGCTAGTTGTTTACAAAATGTTTATCCTTTAAATACATCAGTAAAAGGTTTATAATTTGCTTGGATTAAAAATTATGTAAAGTATATTCTGGATTTATTTATAGCCACCTTTATTATTTTTATAAATAAGGCAGCGAACATACCTATTGCTCCTTCTTCCTCCTATTTTTCCCACAACAACAATCCTGTGAGGTGGGTTGGCCTGAGAGAGAGGGACTGCTCCAAAGTCCCCCAGCCTGTTTTCACGCCTAAGGCGAGACTAGAACTCACAGTCTCCTGGGTTCTCGCCTGGTGCCCTAACCACTAAATCAACTTCTGATGTAACTAAACTTGACAAAACACTTCTTTCTGCAGAATACAGCACTTTAATTTCGCTATATGCAATATCATTTGTTGATCAGTTAATAATCTTAGATAAATTAAAAAGAGGGGGAAAAGGCCCTTGTAGCAATGATATGATAAATTTTCCTATCCCAAGAAATAGTCATAGCCTATGTACTTAGAAGGAATCTTAATCCTTCTCGGAGACGCTGTAATAATCGGGTTTTAATTGCTCTCCTAAATTCCATCAATTTGGGGGTAAATCCTATTGATTCTTGCTAATCACCAGTAGACTCTTCTTAGATGTCAGCAGTCTGTTGGAGTTGAATTCTTTTGACATACCTAGGAGGAGATTAGAGCAGGCATTTCCATGCTGTAGTTGGACCAGTTTAATTATTTCTTTGCAAAGGAAACTAGGAAATCCAAAAGCTTCTAGTTTATTTTGTGTAGAAAGCATGGATATAAAAGATATTCAACTGCTTCTGCTTAATTGGTGGTCTAAACTAGGCTGGGAAGAATCGGGCCTAGTCTGCTCCATTGTGCCTTATAAAGACATTTTCTAGTAGCCTCCGTGTATGTGTTTGTGTGTGTGTTTGTGTGTGCGCTTGCGTGGGGAGGTTCTTTAAAATACAATTGGCTTTTTGGGGAGGCATTGTGAATGGGAACAAAAGGTTGACAGCATTAATAAAAAGGAGACATACAACATAAGAGATAGGCATATAGGTCTCTCTTCCTGTCCTGAGTCCAGAAGAGAAGTATTTGTGACATTCTGGAAATACTTTTACTATAAGGAGAGATGAATGTCATTTCTTTATGAATTTAATGTTCAGGACGTGATCTTCAGAGCTTTCGTACTTCTCTGCTGGAGCCCATCTTCAGCAAATTTCCCTCTAGCAGCGTGTGTGCTTTGGGCTGTTCCATGTGGCTTTTTTTAGATGTTGATCGGGGTGTTGATGACTGACTATGAAGTCGTTGGCTGTTGTTTCCTTGGGTTGCCCGGCCCTCACCTCCTAAGTACTTGATAAGCTGGTGGTAAATCAACAGGGGCTGTTTCCCAGGCTTCAGTCGTTCCCTGGCTGTTTTTGTGCCTGCTCATCTGACAATCTTAGTGGCTGCAAAACTGAATGTATATCCTTGATTAATGCAATGTGAAACTACCAATTTAATGCTCATTGTTGTTGTTAGTTGCGAAGTCGTGTCCGACCCATGGCGACCGCATGGACAACGTTCCTCCAGGCCTTCCTGTCCTCTACCATCTTCTGGAGTCCCTTTAAGCTCATGCCTACTGCTTCAGGGACTCCATTCAGCCACCTCGTTCTCTGTCATCCCCTTCTATTGCAGTGATGGCGAACCTTTTAGAGACCGAGTGCCCAAAAACTGCCCCTCCCACCCCTGTCCTTGCTCCGCCGTGCCCACTGGGCCACCCACCACCTTCACGGCCCACCACAGATCACCCAGCAGCGCCATGGCGGTCACGTCCTCCACCATGCCCCACAGCATCATCTGCGCGCAATGTGGCAGAAGGGCAGAGTCTTGTCCCCGCTGCCCCACTACCATGTCCTTGGCTGCACTGGTGACTCTTTTTCAGGGGGCTGCTGGTGAGGAGGGGGCCGTGGGAGGAGGCGGGATGGGGTGATGGTGCGTGTGCCCACAGAGAAGGCTCCGAACGCCGCCTCTGGCACGCGTGCCATAGGTTCCCCACCACTGTTCTATTGCCTTCATACGTTACAACAATTTCTTTTATTTTTAATAATAGTACCCTATGATCTTTTATTTCCAAGACCCTCGACAGTCTGCTGTTTTATGCTTTCGCGGATCTGAACCAGACATAGGTTGAACTGTCTTGTCCTCTCAAATAGCATTTTTCTCTTCTATTTCAAAATGGCCAACATTTTTTAAATCCATCTTGTTTCAGCGCATGGATGTGTATTCATGACACTAAATCGTAGTTTTCTTACATGGCGCAATTTTCTGAGTTCGAAAGATACACTGAAATATATAAACTAACCACATAGCCAAGGTTTCCACAGTGCCCTTGACTGAAATGGGATCAACTCATAACTCTGTTGCCATGGACAGCAAGATGACTGATTAGTAATTTACTAGTTTGTCAACTTCGGGGGGGGGGGGGGAGCCTAATAGAAACTCCTAAAATCTGAGTTTGTCTAAAGCAGTGTTTCCCAAACTTGACAACAACTTCCGCTGGCTGTGGAATTCTGGGAGTTGAAGTCCTCATGCCTTAAAATTGTCAAGTTTGGGAAACACTGGTCTAAAGCAGGGATAGACAACCTTGGCTCTTTTATGACTCGTAGACTTCAACTCCCAGAATTCCTGAGCCCAGGAATTCTGGGAGTTGAAGTCCACGAGTCATAAAAGAGCCAAGGTTGCCTGGTCTAAAGTTTTTATTCCTTTTTCTTTTTTCTCTAGGTTTTGAGACATTGAAATAACTTCAACATGTTTAACAAATCGTTTGGAACGCCTTTTGGCAGCAATGCGGGAGGATTTGGAACCACTTCGACCTTCGGACAGAGTAAGTGATCCAGAAGGCAGGGGTGTTTTGGTCTAGGTGAGCAATTTTGGGCAGAAATCTTCTACCTCCCTGTATGCTCCGTCTTTGACTCCACACGCAATGATGGGTCGAGGTTTTCATTCCGTTTCTAATCTCCTCTCCAATGGAGAGGCTTCAACAACCCATTTTAAAATTTAGAAGTACGTTACCTTTGTGAGCCGCGTAGAGAACAATGTTACCTGGCAGTCTTACATAGAATGTAGAACGTTTTCCTTATAGGCAGTCCTCGACTTGCAACAGTCCGATTAGTGACCGTTTGAAGTGATGCCACTGAATAAAAAGGGACTTATATCCGTTTTTCAGACTTAGGACCGTCAAAGCATCCCCGCGGTCACGCGATCAAAATTCAGGGGCTTGGCAACTGACTTGTATTTATGAAGGGTCGCCGTGTCCTTGGGGGGGGGGGTCACATGATCCCCTTTTGCGGCCTTCCGACGAGCAGAGTCAACCGGTGAAGTCAGATTTCCTTAACAGCCGTGTTACTGACTTAACAACTGCAGTGAGTCACTTAACAAGAAGCCAGACAGATCATAATTGGATCATGATTAGGGGACTGGAGGTTAAAGCGTACAAGGAACGGCTGCTGGAATTGGGTATGTCCAGTTTAATGAAGAGAAGGACGAGGGGGGACAGGATAGCAGCCTTCCAGTATCTCAGGGGTGGCCACAAAGAAGAGGCAGTCAAGCTATTCTCCAAAGTGCCTGAAAGCATGACAAGAAGCAACAGGTGGAAACTAATCAAGGAGAGAAGCAACCTAGAACCAAGGAGAAACTTCCTGTCAGTGAGAACAATTAACCAGTGGAACTACCTGCCTCCAGAAGCGGTGAATGCTCCAACACTGGAAGTTTTTAACAAGACACTGGACAATCGTCTGAAATGGTATAGGGTTTCCTGCCTGAGCAGGGGGTTGGACTAGATGACCTCCAAGGTCCCTTCCAACTTTACTATTATTACTACTATTACTACCATTACTATTATTGTTGTTATTATTATTATAATAAAATGGAGCAAAAAACTCACTTTCCGGCTGTCTCACTTAGCAGCAGACCTTTTGGCCTCAGTTGAACTCATAAGTTGAGGACTACATGTATAACGTGAATATGGACGGGATGGGGCTGAGCTAAAAAGGTTTTTGTGTAACGTTCTGTTTTTTAAACGTGGTAAGCCCTCCAAAGGTTTGCCCGTTTTAATTATCGCCGGAGCCTCGGTGTTCAGAAAGACGTGGCTTGCAAAAAAAAACCCACGTGCTGTTTTAAATAAAAAGACACTGCACTCTGGCCTGGAGATAGCTTCAGCCACGACAGCAGCTAAGTTTCAACCCTTTGGTAAGCTCAGATGCTCCCACCCACCCCCTTACACAGCCCACCCCAATCCCCCTCTTCCTGCTTTGCAGATACTGGCTTTGGGACCACCAGCGGAGGAGCCTTTGGGGCGTCCGCGTTCGGAGCCAATAACAATGCCGGGGGACTCTTTGGCAGCACTCAGACCAAGCCAGGTACAGACTCCCACCCCCTGCCCCTCTGTTGTGCCCCGTGTCCCCCTTCTCCTCCGGGGTGCCTGACCAGAGGGCTTCTGTTTGTTTGCAGGAGGGCTCTTTGGGGCAAGTACCTTCAGCCAGCCAGCCACGTCGTCCACTAATACCGGTTTTGGTTTCGGCCCGTCCACCGGAACTTCCAGCGGCCTGTTTGGCACTACCAGCACAGGCGGAGGACTCTTCTCAACCCAGACCAATGCCTTCGCCCAGAACAAGCCGGCGGGGTTTGGCAGTGAGTATGGCGCTCCCTCCCCCCCCTCTCGTAGCTGGGAAATGACACCTGCATGGTGCCATTTCCTGCTTTGCATCCCTGAGCAAATCCTGAAAAATGCTCCTGAGCCTCTTTGTGGGAAGAGTCCTGGGTCCTGCTGACAAACTGAAGTTTGTAAGGTTCACAGAGCTTGTGTTGGGCGCAAGGAACTAGAACAGGGGTCGGTAACCTTGGCCGTTTTAGGACTCGTGGACTTCAACTCCCAGAATTCCTGAGCCAGCATGGGGGAACTATGGCCCCTTCATGACTCGCGAACTTCAACTCCCAGAATTCCTGAGCCAGCATGGGGGAACTATGGCCCCTTCATGACTCGCGAACTTCAACTCCCAGAATTCCTGAGCCAGCATGGGGGAACTATGGCCCCTTCATGACTCGTGGACTTCAACTCCCAGAATTCCTCAGCCAGCATGGGGGAACTATGGCCCCTTTATGACTCCTGGACTTCAACTCCCAGAATTCCTGAGCCAGCATGGGGGAACTATGGCCCCCTCATGACTTGTGGACTTCAACTCCCAGAATTCCTGAGCCAGCATGGGGGGAACTATGGCCCCTTCATGACTCGTGGACTTCAACTCCCAGAATTCCTGAGCCAGCATGGGGGAACTATGGCCCCCTCATGACTTGTGGACTTCAACTCCCAGAATTCCTGAGCCAGCATGGGGGAACTATGGCCCCTCATGACTCGTGGACTTCAACTCCCAGAATTCCTGAGCCAGCATGGGGGAACTATGGCCCCCTCATGACTTGTGGACTTCAACTCCCAGAATTCCTGAGCCAGCCTGGTTCAGCTTGGAAACCTCTCCCTTTGCCCTCAGCATGGCTGGCTGAGGAATTCTGGGAGTTGAAGTCCACGAGTCATAAAAGAGCCAAGGTTGCCTACCCCTGAACAACAACAACCCTACGAGCTGATCAGAGAAGCGTCTTCATTGCTTATTGCGCCTGTTTACTAGAGTCTCCCCAGATTGGACTCCGCTCTCTTGGGAACAACCACATAAAGGGTTTTAGGGGGGATGTCAGGTCTCCCTTGCTTCCTCCCCTGTAAGGATTCCCAGCTAGCCAGTCTCTCCACCCCCCCACTCTGGCTGCAGATTCCGCCACATCCCGATTGGAAGCTCAGCTTCCTACCTCTAGTAAAATAAAAATAGATGACCCAGCGCGTGAACGGAAGAACCTGTTTGGTCCAGGAGTCGAAATCAGCGTGGTTAGAAATATAATCTGAAATACTGTAAAACATCCCATCGCTCTTCATTTCCCACTTTTGATCCCCATTGTGAAGTTCGGCCTCCTGCTTAATTCTCCTTTCCTTTCGTTCTGTCGATGCTCTTTCAGCCAGCAGGTGCTAGTGAGGACTCTTGTTAAATCAGTCAGAGACCTTGACCGGATGTATAACATGAAGAAATAGTCCTGCAAAACAAAATAATTATAACCTGCTCATAACCTGTTTTTAAGGCCAAAGCCCTTGACCTTGATCAGATGCACAACTGAAGAAATAGTCCTGCAAGGCAAAATAATTATAACCTGTTTTTAAGGCCAGCTTTAGTGGAGTACACACAGCAAGGGCATCGCCTTTTCTGTCAATATTGTAATTGAGTATAAGCTGAAGCGTGCACCTTGTTCGCACCCTGAAATATTTCAGCTTGTACGTAGTATCTTCACAAAGTTCATAGTGATGCAAAGCGGCTTGGGCTTGAAAAACGTGCATTGTTCAACTGATAACCTTGTTAATTAGGAAGAATTTATTTATCACTGTTTGGAAACTGCCCGTCTGCTCCACAGAGGGACTCTGGACAGGGTATAGATCAAATGCGAAGAACATAAAAACAATATAAAAAAGTGAGGCAAGAATAGTTAAAATTTAATATTAAAGGTTAACTAAAAAGTGGGGACAGGGGATTTCAGAGCATTAACCAGCCCCACAGCTCCTGTATTCTAAAACTCTTGGGGATTGGGTTTTTTTTTTAAAAAAAAAAAAAAGATTTCAGGATTTAGAACAGGGCTGTTTATGGCTGTCGACCAGAATGCCGTTTCCCAGACGTTTGGATAGACTGGGGGAAGTGGTAGGTCAGGCCAGCCCTTGTGCAAAGAATCGGTTCGGACCTTTGCTGAGAGCCACTGGCCTTTCTCTGCAGTTTGGGCGGGACAAAGCGTCAGCAAGAGGAGAAGTAAAACACTCTCCCTTTTCCACCCTCTTCCCTTTGGCCCAAAAGAACCGGTGGATTCTACATCCTCTAAGGCAATGGTTCTCAACCTGTGGGTCGGGACCCCATTTGGGGTTGAACGACCATTTCATGGGGGTCGCCAAACAACGCAGTCCGCCATTTTCCCCCCCTTTTCTTTAGCTGTGCTACCCTTTTATTCTATTGGCTTTCGAAAGCCAATAGAATAGACTCTCTTGAATAGAGTCTAATTCTATTGGCTTTCCAAAGCCAATAGGAATTGTCCAGGCTGTCTCTGCCCTGCTGAGCCCGCCAAAAGTCCCAGTCTGCAAACGGTGCTGCACCCGTTGAGTAGCCCTCGACTTACGACCGGTTGAGTAGTCCTCGACTTACAACCGGTTGGGGGTCGCGGCATTAAAAAGGTTGAGAACCACTGCTCTGAGGAGACTTTTTAGAAGGCAGAACCCCCTGCTGGAACTCTTAGCAAAAATGGAACCTGCTGGGTGGAACCATCTTTCTTCCTTGACTCCCTGCAGAGGACAGAGAAGGCGGTTCTCTTTCCCACCCCCAGACTGTTTTGGGAAACTCCGCACGCGCTGTGTTCTCGCTCCCACCCGTGGATGACAAACGGGCAAGGAGATTGCCCCCGTCCCTGAATACGCGTCCTTGTTCGTGCTGGCCCAAAACCCAGTGCTGCTTAGTTTAAAATGTTCTCAGTCAGTGATGGCGAACCTTTTGGAGACCGAGTGCCCAAACAGCAACCCAAAACCCACTTATTTATCGCAAAGTGCCAGGGCTGCATCAGCATTGTGGTGCCCTCGGGGGGGGGTGGGCTTGGGGCGTGGCCCACTGGGTGGACATGGCTGGAGTGGTCACGGCAGACTGGGTGAGTGTGGCTGGAGCCAGTCCCTCGCCATCTCCAGGGCATCCCCGGGAGGCTAACGCCGCTTGCTTGCTCACCTCCTGCCCCGTTGCTTCCAAACGCCACGTGCTTGCTACTCTGGTGAACTCTGCGGGGGCAACGACGTGTGTGCCCACAGAGAGGGCTCTGAGTACCGCCTCTGGCACACGTGACATAGGTTCGCCATCCCTGTTATAAGTTCCCTCTGCTTTCTATTGGATATTCGTCGCGTGAAACAAAGTTTAGCTTTATCTGTGATACATTTGGACATGGCTTTTATTTATTTTATTTTATTTTTTTACAGATTTTGGGACAAGCACCAGCAGTGGAGGGTTGTTTGGCACCACTAACACAGCCTCCAACCCATTTGGGGGCACGTCTGGCTCCCTTTTTGGGTCAACCAGCTTTTCCACCGTCCCTACCGGCACCACGATTAAATTCAACGTAAGCCCTATTCGCGTGCGCTTTTAATTAATTTCATTCTTCTGAACGATGTATCTGAAGGCCATCGATAAGAGAACCAGACTTCATATTTATTATGATCCCTGTGAAGCTGAGTCTCCTCTCTCAGGCAGCGGTCCTTCCATACAGGCCAGCATAACGATATTTAATTTAGGGTTGGGAAGTTCTTGTCAAGATGTACCTCGCAGGAACGTATGCTGGGGAATCCGGATTAATTTTGCTGCTCTGGAGAAGCCGATACTGAATGTCCTATATAAATTATTTGAAGAAGGGAGTTTGAGAATAACGGCTGTGCTTCTCATTGTGGGATCCTTGGTGCTCTCTGAATTGGGTGATTCATGACCCAACTAGGGAACCTTATCAATGGGGGAAGTGTGGGGTTTGCTCTCTGTTTACATGCTAATGGCCTGCCCTGTCAGTGTCAGGAGTTTTTCAAAGGTTTGTTAATTGGGCTGTTGTTTGCTGCTTGATTGTTAGTCTAGTCCAGGGGTAGGCAACCTTGGCTCTTTTATGACTCGTGGACTTCAACTCCCAGAATTCCTGAGCCAGCATGACTCAGCTTGGAAACCTCTCCCTTTCCCCTCAGCATGGCTGGCTCAGGAATTCTGGGAGTTGAAGTCCACGAGTCATAAAAGAGCCAAAGTTGCCTACCCCTGGTCTAGTATTAATTTTGAGGTTGATCTCTGCTTAAATGGGCATTAATTGCTGGCGAGGGAGCAAGCCACTGTATAAAAACAGAGAACAAACCCCACTCCCTTCTAGTCTAACAACTGAAGACGTTACCTAATTGGGTCATGAAACGTCTGCAAGAAAACCACCAAGCTCAGAGAGCACCCAGGACCCCACAACTGAACCCTGAGCTACAAATATGCTGCTGATTTCTTGAAGAACGGCTGTGCTGTGACGCTAGGACCAGATGTTCTTCACGCGTAGAAACTCACACCTCAGACCTCACACCAAGGCAGGATAAGAGGCCGGTCTCTGAGTAAGACCTTGGAAAAGCTGCCGCTGGCTAGGATAGATGGCCCCAAGTCCAGTGCCCGCCCGCCCCATATTCTGCCTCGGCCTCTGGTGAGAAAGGGGGGGGGCACTTTGTTGGCGTTGCTTTAGGAAGGGCATATGCCCCTTTAAGGGGTGGACGGAATCGCCATCCTTGAGGGTTCTGTAGCAGTTGATGAAGTAGAAGATGGCCAGGTCGGCTAAAAGGGGGGTCTTCGGCCTCTGCAGAGGGGGGAGGTGGAGCTTTCCTGCTCACATTCCATCTGAAATGGCGGCAGCGGAGGGAGCCAGAGCCCTGAAGGCTGCCTTCCAGGTAGAAGAAGCAGAACCCAGAACCCAGCGTAGGCAAGGAGAGGGTGAGACCTACCGTGCGGGGCAAGGCGAGGGGCATCCGGAGGGCAAATTCAATAACCCTCACGAGAGGCGGCCTGCTTGTGGGCTGGGACCGTTGCAGCATTTCCTGGCTCTCAGATCAAGCCTTCAGCCCTTGCAAGCCCACGAGGTCCCATCAGGAGCCTGGCTTCTTCCAGGACGTGCATCTCCAGCGAGGGCCTTTGTCGTTTTCCTTCCAGGCACCCACCGGCACGGATACCATGGTCAAGTCTGGCGTCAGCACCAACATCAGCACCAAGCACCAGTGCATCACTGCTATGAAGGAGTACGAGAGCAAATCCCTAGAGGTCAGTGTGGGCGCTGGGCCTCGGGGTGCCCTAGCAAAGAGGGGAGCGAGTCTCTTCCGCAGAGCACCTGAGGGCAGGGCAGGAAGCAACGGGTGGGATCTAAGCAAGGAGAGAGATCCAGCCTAGAACTAAGGGATTTCCTCACAGGGAGAACAATGAACCAGTGGAACGGAAGTTGCCTTCGGAGGTTGTGGGTGCTCCCATCACTGGAGGTTTTGAAGGGGAGATTGGACAGCCATTGGTCTGGAACGGTAGAGAGCCAGACTAAGTGACCTCCAAGCTCCCTTCCAGCCCTATGAATCTATGATCCACCCCTCTTAAAACTGCGGGATTCTGGGAGATCCAGCCTGGAAATAGGGAGGAATTTCTTGACAGGGAGAACAATTATCCAGTGGAACTGGCTCGCCTCCAGAGGTTCTGGATGCCCCATCCCTGGAGGTTTCCAAGAAGAGATTGGACAGCCGTTTGTCTGGAGTGTTACAGGCTCTCCTCCCAGGCAGGGGGCTGGAATAGAGGACCTCCAAGGTCCCTTCCAATTCTGGCATCGAATGAAGCCCAGTTGGAGGGATTCGCATAACTCTTCAGTCTCGTTCTAGCCCTCTTGCACCTTTGCCCAGTGTCAGAACAGTCACCCAGGCTCGGGAGCCCTTCCCCTTGAGAGCAGCAGCCCCCTCCCCTTTCCAGGAGCCCCCTCCACCCCCCCATCCAAAGGCTGCCTCTCCTACTTTTGGAAAGCCAGAGCAGGGGGAATGTGCCCATGAAATGTTTCTCCCTCCAGGAGCTTCGCCTGGAAGACTATCAGGCCAACAGGAAAGGCCCCTCCAACCCAGTGGGAGCAGGGGCCACCCCGGGCTTGTTCGGATCGTCCACCGCTACGTCCAGCACAGCCACAGGGCTCTTTGGCTCCTCCACCACCAACACGGGCTTTTCCTACGGGGCAAACAAAACAGCGTTTGGAGCCAGTAAGTATCCCTGGGCTGGTCTTGCTCTGGCCAAGCTGGTAAAAAAGGGCTATCGACTTTCGTGCTCTGCAGAGTTTCCCAACCTGGGCCACTTTAAGACGGGTGGATTTCGACTCCCAGAATCCCCCAGCCAGCAACGCTGGCTGGGGGATTCTGGGAGTCGAAGTCCACCCGTCTTAAAGTAGCCCAGGTTCCCCTACCTTGGGTGTCAAACTCAGTTTCATTGAGGGCTGCATCAGCATTGCAGTTGCCCTTGGGGGGTGTAGCCTACTGGGTGGGTGTGGATGGAGTGGGTGTGGCCTGCTGGGTGGGCGTGGCCAGCTCTACATTGTTTGCGTCAAGGGGGCCTGGGCAGGAGTGGGATAGATCTGAGGGTCTCTGGCAGAAGGGGGTGGGACCGGGGCAAGTGCCAAGGCATGGTCCACTGGAGGAGCCTCACTGTTCCTCTCAGGCCATGCAGGGGGGAGGGGGCTGGATGGTGGTGCGGGCTGCCCAAAGCCCTGGGCAGCAGAGGTCCAACACCAATCCTGGCCCTCAGGCACCCGTGGCACCAAGCCCAGCCCCACTTGCCCAAGGGGGCGCCCAGCTGCACTTACCTCCTCCTCAAGGTTGCTGCTGTGCTTGCTCTCCTTAGCCAGGTTGTTCATGATGGGTACCAGGGCAAAGTCAGAGGGAGACTGAATGCGTTTC